CGAGGCGTGGTGCGCCACGCGACCATGGCGACCACGGCGTCCAACGTGGCCTCGCTCGCGCTCTTCGCCGGCCGCTTCGGGTACATGCCGTTCCAGCGGCCAATGTTCCTCAGGCACCCGATGCACCGGCACCGCGTGCTGCAGCTGACGTCGCCGCTCGCGGCCGTGACCTAGGCCGGCCTGGTGCTCTCCCCGGCCGAGTTCGTCCCAACATACAGTGGTATTCTCGTCCAATCAGGATTAAGTCTTAATGCTCGTATTATCCTAAATTTATTTCAGAATTTTTGATGATGCGTGTTTAGTGCAAGACATTTTTTTTCTTCTCAAATGCGCACAAGCATGCTGTGGAAGACGTTTTCGTTAACTACAAGTCCTCGTGGTGACTTCGTCAATTTCAATATACCGGCTCATTCTTTCACTGATGCTCATAGACATAATGTGCGTGTGTGTGCTTATTGGGATAAGTGTAGTGTGTTCTAAAAATGAAGAAAAAATTAGTGGGGGTCAAATGTAACACCAAAGTGCGTCAATGGGGTATAAATTGAGAAATTCCTAAAAGTGGGTAATATCTATCACAAAGGTCAATCTTAAGGGTAAAAATAAAATTTACTCGTTTATATTAAGTACGTATGATAGAAGTGAGGAGATGCATCTGCAGATCTGCTGTCCTGGACACAATTACTAGCCAGTAATCAATCTCTAAACAACCATCGTCGAAACACCTCAGTCATGGATCAAAAGCACGCACACACATCATGCACGTCACGCATCAAGCTCCGATCAAAATAATCCACGCATCAAGCACCCGTTAACTGAAAACTATGGCAATTAATTACTATCTCCGTCTCATATTGTAAGACGTTTTTTAGCCTATTTAGCCTACCAAAAATGTCTTATAATTTGGGACACATGAAGTAGTATATTATCCATCCTAAGAAAGTATCACACACATGCCTACTCCACCCTTCTGTTCCTTCTAGCCTCTTCATCCAACGATGTCATCCCAGCGAGCTTGAGCTCCGAGCCTTTGCCCTAGAGGAATGCATACATGCCACCACAACTATCACTGTTCCAGCACGTCGCACATACAGAAATAGGCTTTGCTAAAATTCATGAATACATAACCGCATGCACAGAGAGATCGCCTGGGACCACATTAGTTAATTTGCTCACCTCCCAAGGTAGATATCAGCGTCAAGTAGAACCGACTCCAACACCGTGGTCATGACCAGTGAAAGCGAGTTGAACATCGGAGGGTAGATGGGTCCGCTTCGGCGGATCACCCGGCGAGATCAGCAGGAATGCAAGGCCAGTGTTCAATACAACCTGAGCATTATCAGAAATTTGATGGTAAAAAGTATGTTATCAGCGTCCATTCAGCTCTGTCATGGACGATGAAGACACCCACCACCAAGGATTTTATGTTCCCTACTAGGGACATGAGCGTGTCATCCAGTAGATTGACAGGAACACCTTCACAAGCCTTTCCTGATATTTTAGCCATCAACAATTAATAATGATAAGGAGTAGCACTAGTAGAGCTTAGTGTAGTTCGGGGGAGGGAGGGGGGCCTTGGCCCCAAGTCTTGGACAATTCTGCGAAGGCAGTGTCGGCTGTAGGTGCCTGGGAGTTGGAGTATCCCATCAAGTTGGTGGGCCACAGGTGCAGTGGCCGGCCTTTCAACAGGCTCACCATCATGGCCCCGCCAATGCAGAGCAGCGAGCCAAGCAGCTTCATCTTGCCTGGATAATTTGCTTGTGCCAGCTTCTCAGCCCTGAATGTAGATACATATATGTTAAAGGCGGCCACTTTTGTGTATCTTTGATTGGATCATGAATAACCGATCATGTACCGTAGCACTATGGCAATGATGAAGGTGGCAACGGCGATCAAGTTGAGTAAGATGGAAGAGTATGCTGGTAGCCTGCAGCCCGTAGAAGTACGAGCCCACAACAAGGACGTCTCTGCAATGCAACAAGAGGCAACATTACTATCTAATTAAAACAGATACTAGATATGTATATGCAAATGAAGTCATAACAATTTTGTATAAAAAGGGTTGGAGGTCTCACAATAAATGAAAATATTCATTTGATTATCAACTGTTTATACTTGAAACTAAAACTAAGAGAGGCAGTGCATCCTTGTAATGCACGAGTTAAATCTAAAATCAGCTAATAATGAAACCGATTCGTTATTGAAGAGGGTATAATGTATGGAAGATAACAGAGAATACAATCGTATGGATTAACAAGCCAAGGGTTACATGTATATAAGCCTATACTAGATTTGGATAGTAAGCAAGCCGAGAAAAATCACCTTCTCAGCCAGCACTCAAATGAGCTTGGGTGAATAGTAAAATAAAAAAAATTGGTGACAAATGTTCTAGGGATTGCAAAATTATATCATGAAATCACATGTGTGAAAGCGTGGCAAAAAAATTAGTGCTCCAAAATGTTTCCGAAAGTAGCATTTTCAGTATCGATTTTTTTGCCATGCCTTCCAGGAATGTGATTCCATAATGAAATTTTGCAAGATCTTAGAACATTTTTCAATATTTGTCACAAAAAAAAATCAGATTTTCTTGATTTTACAGTTCACCTGAACTCACTTGACTTCATGCTGAGAAATTCCATTTCCGCAAGTCGAGTCCTAATCTAATAATTGATGGGCTTGCAACAGCAATTATCTAGTACTCCCTCTGTAAACTTATAAGATATTTTAGGTCACTATTTTGGGAGTACTTGGGAGCACGCCCCCCTTTCGGCCATTGTTTTACTGCGGGGAAGACAGGACAAGATAGGACGGGATCTGGCAGTGGATGAACCATAGGGGTGGAGGGTGAACGACGCTAGGAAGGGCGGAGCAGGAGTACTGTAGTCAAGCCGGTGAAGGAGCACTGGAGTAGTCTAGGCGGCGTGCATGTGTCTTTATGGACGAACGGGTCCGGGAGCCCCTGTGTGGGTTCTTTTTGGTTTTCCAAGGGCCATTTCATCCTTTTTTTTACAGGAAAGGGCCATTTCATCCCTCCCATCTCTAATTGACATAGTAATCACTATTTCTATATCTATGTATAGTACTCCCTCTATGATTTAAACGATATATTAGTTTACAGAGGTAGTACTACATAAAGAGTCCAGATACATAGAGCATCTAATGAAAAATCAGATATTTTGTATGTGTGTGTCCATATACTTATTTATAGGAGGGGGGAGAGAGAGAGAGAGAGAGAGACGGTTGAGCAAACACACCTATTGATTGGCTCCTCAATTTCTTTAGCGGGCCCAACAGAAGTCACTATTGTAATTAATTTTTTGTTTTTTAATATTTACTGTCCAATCTTCACGTGCCTATGTTGCAACGCAGCCCCACCTTTTATGTACAAAAAAAATTGTGATTTCATTGATAAACCAATAAGCCTTTACTTGAGTAAGTGATTTTTATTTAGATGGATAAATCATTGACAGATTTTAACAATCCCATTAATATGGGCAAGTAATCTCGGGCTAATGTACCAGAATATTTATATCGAGTTGCAACGCTCTGTCAACTATTTAGTAATTGATTAAAGAGTGATGGTTATTGTGGGGGACCCCCTATATGGTCGAAGCCACCGATCGTACATGCAACAATGATTCCATAATTAGTGTGTCACTGCGCACAACTGATAGTTTAAAAGTTTACATCCATTACATAATGTCTTTCACAAATAGGACCATCATGGCCAAGTCTTGCATAAATAAAGCCATGGGGGCTAGTCTCCAACAAAACATAAGCAGCGGGAATCATCTTGATGCCCTCTGTGCAAAACCTGATCCAGAAGACCGCGGACATATGCCATTTCTATGTGACCGGGCAACGGAGGTGTGGAGCGCCCTTGGCCTGGGAGAAATGGTGGCGTCCGTTGCCACTTTTGCACCTTTCTGGCACGGCTGTGTTGGAGGAGCTTCTGTGCTCCGATAGAGCTTCGCTACGCCTACGTGAGATTATGGGGTCAAGGGGGTTACGGTGGTGGTTTGATTAGTGGGAAAGATAATTACGTAGGTTTATATATAAATAAACCTTTCGTAAGCCTAGCATTTTTGGCTCAGATATAGCTGAAGGAATTCCACTCCCGAGAGGACCCAATTGAGCGTCTAGCATTTTTGGCTCAGATATAGCTGAAGGAATTCCACTCCCGAGAGAGGACCCAATTGAGCTTGTAATGGTTCCAGCACATGGTTTATTTGGTACTCCATTCGTCCCATAATATAATATAAGTGCGTTTTTTACACCATTAATATCAAAAATGCTCTTATATTATGAGATTAAGGGAGTAGGAAGGTCACACATGCGGATTACCTGAGCGTGCCACAATCAGCATCAGGGCGAAGGGTTACCAATAGTTTGGCCAGAAGATTACAACCGTCAGTTAGAGAGCAAGCATGGTCATATGGCTAGTGTCATATAAAAATGTATAAAAAACTTTGGGCCGTACGTCTAGTGTCATAAAAATCCAATATTATTTATCACCGGATCACTTTTTATTTTCCTTCTGTATCGACATGTGTGTGATCAATGAAACAGGGAGTTGAAGCGGCCCAATTCCAACGCACAGAGAACAACACTGCTATCCTATGTATACAAGACAATCGCTACTGTCTACAGATCAACAAATTGCAGGCCAAATTGCTTCAGTGTAAATCATAACTGGTTGTATGATGCTGCTATCATATGTCTGGTCCAAATTGCTGCTGTCTGTGCTGATTGGATCTATGTTTGATCAGATACAGTACACCAAAAAATTGGATTTGGTATCCTGAGTTCAGAAAATGCTGCACCACAATTGCTCACAGCTACAGAAAAATCTGCAAAGCTCGCCCTAAAATAGTCTAACGAATGAATCAGTCTGCCCGCGCGTTCCTTCAATCAAGCAATGTATGTACAGGGGACCATACCGCTGGTCAGCAAATCTTTGGTCATTCAGTATTATGCACATGGGTTGTCACGGATGAATGATCCTATCTGGTGTTCGAGAGTTGTTTGGATGCAAGGCTGAACATCTCCTTTAGGCGGGCAGATGAGCTGGAAAGAACATTCTTCTCGATTCTCTTCTGATGCCTGGTGGTCTTTGACCATTCAATTCCAAGATAGACTTGGACACTGCACGCCTTTTGTTTAGGAGCAAGGTCTTCGATTTGATACTTTATATGAAGCTGCACATGCAAGTTAGGTGAACAGGTCATTACAGTGATTATTCTGATTTTATTCAGAAAGTTAGCAAGAACACAACTGATTTCTTTGAAATATCCAAAGGAGGAACTTGGTGCAATTGGCTGCATTAAGATGGAGGGTGCTTGTTGCA